CTAGAGATTAAAGGATAAAGATATATAGATTGAGATAAAGATAGATAGATAGATAGATAGATAGATAGATAGGTAGATAGAAATGAAAATATAGAGACAATGAAATATTGACATGAAGAGAGCGACAGAAAGAAATGCTAAGATAGAGATATATAGAGTTAGATAAAAGATAGATAGAGATATATATATATATATATATATATATATATATATATATATATATATATATATATATATATATATATATATATAATCCACGTCTACAGATGTTGCCTGTTTGGGAACTTAATGGGCATAAACTGAACTGTACCCAGAGTCAGCATGTACTGATTCAAAGGTGATGACCACGAATCGGCACTTGTGCTAACGTGAATCGTCGTTCTTCCCTGAACGCGCCCTACCCGCTGGGTGTATCACACTTGTTCTTCCCGCTCATTCCACCCATTAATCTACGTTTCGTTGATTCATGATACGCGTTCCATACTCTACCCATATAGGAATGAAGTTTGTGTCTCTCTTTCTCTCTCTGCCCTCAGAAAGTGCACTACGACTCATTGTTCTTCTATGGTGCAATCGACCATACGCTTGACTCCGTTGCTCTCCGCTCCTTGACTGTGCGATGAAATGCTGTACGCCTTTGGCCAATCATCGTCCCATCTATACGCGTAGGTTCGCGCCTCAGCACCTACCTGTTGTCTTTACCGCGGGATTTCAAAATCGCCTTTACTTTCTGAACCGACTCCCAAGATGATGCTTCCACGCTAACTACAATCTTAACATGTTCATGTCGAACTGTAAGATTTTTCGACAAGACGTCTTGGCAACATTTGTTGTAAGAATCACTGAAAAAAAAAACCTTTGAGTTATTCAGCGAAAATCAGAACCGGTTAAAATCGTTATGTCAACCTCACTATGTCTTCACAAATGACCAGTGATGAGAGCATAAAATGTGCCTATTACTTTTTAAGACTCTGTAAGATGAATGGCTCCCCTGCCCTGTACTGATTGCTCATCAATGTAAAAAATGAAACTGCCAGCAACACTGTGGTCATATATAGAGTGTACAGATACAGCACATAGGGAGAAATACTGGGATTCAAAACTTTGATCTCAGGTAAGGATCTGGAGATTGATATATTGTTACTAGAGAGAGTGCACAGATACTCTAAACATAAGGCGTAAGTGTTGATCCAGAGACACGGTGGAGTAATGGATAGTGGCTCGGATTGATGAATAGGAGAGCAGAGTTCGAATTCTATTACATTTACTTACGTACTAATACCCATTGCGAAAGGTATGACTCCTCTTCTTCTCCACCACCCACCTATGGTTAGATAGCAGGAAAGATTGGGTGGCAACTGGTCTACTGCAAAAAGAAATGGCAACCTACCGCGTGAAAAAATCTGCCTCGTCAGTCATATATCGAAAGATACGTGATCACTTACGCGTGTATCACGCATAGCACATAACTGAACTGAAGTGTTGATCCATTTGTAAACTCTGTCATTTTGTTTTGTGGATAGAAAGCTGTTAATGCCCTTAATGAAAGCCATGTATATCAAGTATTTTATTCTCAGATCGATTGTTTGTTTTTGTCTTCGCTCCAAAAGAATATTTCGAAGAACTAAATTATTTCATTTTTATATTTTATTAAAATAAATTAAGAAAAGGAAGAAATGGTTTTGATGACAGTGAAATGAATTAACTTTCCAAGATTGAAGACATATTGTTCCGCTCGAAGAGATTTATTCCTCGACCCCACAATGACCGATACAATTATGTGAGACAACAAACACCCATCAAGTATAGACTATAAATTTTATACCGGGTTTTACAATAAATAGGTATTGTCTGAGGGATGGATCCACAGTCACCAGTTAGTTTAAAAATTGTATGCAAAGGAGATGATATATCAACTAATTACATTTAAAGTGTATCATAAATAAAAAGAAAAAAAAATAATAATTAAGCAATATAAATAAACGATAAATTTTGGGGAAAAATAAACTTGATATCTACAAAATGAAGAACTCAGCTTGTTTTATATACGTATCAAATTGGTATATAAGGAAAAAAGAATAAAACGATTTCATTATATCTACTTTAATATATTAAAATATAGACTAAAATTAAATAAAAATAAAATGCCAAGATAAATGATATTCCATGCCAATGAATATATTTTGAAAATTACAAATTTAGGATGCCAATAAACGTTTAAGATATCAATTAACCTTCAAGATATCAATAAGCCTTTAAGATATAAATGAATCTTTAAGATATCAGGAAAACTTTAAGATATCTAGGAATCTTTAAGATATCAATGAATCCTTAAGATATTAGTAAAACTTTAAGACATCGATTAACTTTTAACATATCAATGAATCTTTAAGATATCAGTAAGCATTTAAGACATCAATAAATATTTAAGATATCAATAAGCCTTTAAGATATCAATGAATCTTCAAGATATCAATTAACCTTTAAGATATCAATGAAT